GTGCCCCTTGGTGCTTTCTCCCAACACGGGCTCCTTCCTCCCTCCCTATAGCGGAATGGACTCCTTTGGAAGGTAGACTGCTCTCCCCAGGGAGGCTCACTTTGCACCTTCATTGCACACCTTTAGGCATCAGGCGAAAATGTTCCTCTTCAGCCAGGCCAATTTGGCTGATTATATCCAATACCCTTTTAAACGTGTTGTGGGGAAGGTATTGTTTTGTGTGGTTTTTGCTTGGTTTTATTATGTATTCTGTGCTTTATTCTCTTATTTTTATGAGATCTACGGATGAAGGGCAGTATACAAGTTTAATAAATTAAAAAATAAAGGTGGTGGACTCTCTTTCCTTGGCGGTTTTTAAGCAGAGGTTGGGTGGCCGCCTGCCGGGGAGTCTTTATCTGTGATTCCAACCCTTCAGTTCCATGATTCTGTGGTTCTAGTACCCAGTAGACGACATTGACAAGATGAAGGAAAGGGCAGCGATGAATAACTCGTTCATCTACATCAAGATCCCACAAGTGCCGCTCTGCGTGAGCTACAAGGTCAGCCAGTCGTCCTGGGTTTGGGGTTTGGGCACGGACCATGAATGCAGCATGGCTTTTCCTTACCGTCGTGGTCACTATCACATCATGTGGCAGAGAGTTCCATAAGTTAGCCATGAGCTGTGTGAAGAGCTCCCTTCTCTCTGCCCACACAACCTCTTGGATCCGGCTTGCGTCTGCTGCCGCCTTAACCCCATCCAGCACCTTCAGATATGTGGGCGCTCCCATTTCCTGGGGCTAGGGTGCGGGGAGCATGGCGGGGAGGAGGAGAAGGACGTCCCTATCCCCCTGCCCCCCGGGACATGGCCTGACCTGCTGCTTCTCCACCCTCTTCCCCAGGGGGAGAAGAACAGTGTGGACTGGGGCGAACTCAACCTGGTGCTGCCCTGCCTGGAATACCACAACAACACCTGGACGTGGCTAGACTTTGCCATGGCGGTGAAGCGGGACAGCCGCAAGGCCTTGGTGGCGCAGGTAAGAGTGGGTGCTGGCGGGGGTGTGGGGAAGGGGCACGGGATGGGCCAAAGACTGCAAGGGGGGTAGTTTCTGGTTCACCCTCTGCCTGCCAGGCCTCTGCTCAAAAGACTGCCAGGGCTTAGGAAGGAGCCTTACAAAGAGGGTGGCATACAGCCGTCGCAGCTAGTAGCCTTCGGTGGCCTTCTAGGAACGGAGGACCCGGCCGTCTGCTGAGTCCCTCTAGCCACCAGTATTGCCTGCACTGTCCGGCAGCAGCTCTCTTAGGGTTTATAAGAGCATAAGAACAGCCTGGTTGCTGGATCAGGCTGATCTAGTCCAGCATCATGTCCTCACAGTGGCCAAACACCCCATAGAACCTAGAATCCCGATAGACTGTCTCTGGAGGTGGAGGCTCCATGAAAGCATCCGAAGAGCCCTTCAGCTATATTTTATCAGCAGTCTCAAAGCGTCAGCAGGTGGGCTGGACAACCCACCTGCCACAGCCCCTGACACCATTATGCCAGGCGATTGGCAGGCGCACCGTCCCACCCGCCTAGAATCGTCAGATTGCAGAGTTGGAAGGAACCCCAAGGGTCACGTAGCCTGACCTCCTGCAATGCAGGAAGCGCAGCTAAAGGATCCCGGGATTGTAGGGCGGGGAGGGACCCCAAGGCTCATTTAGTCCAACCCAATGCAATAATCGGGAATCAAACTTGGCCAGCCGGCAGCAGCATGGGGGACAGACCCGAAAGTTCACCCCACACCCTCTTTTAAGGAGCAGAGCAGACAAGCGCCCCCTTTCCCTCTCGTGCCCTTTTTTTGCAGGTCATCAAGGAGAAGCTCCGGCTCAAGCCGGCCACGGGCGGCAACGATTCCCGGGGCAAGCAGGAGGGCAAGCTGGAGGGCCACGTTCAGCAGCAGGAGGAGGACGAGAAGGCCCGGCTCCTCATTGGCCTGAGCGTCGGAGAAAAGGTCCCCGGGAAGAAGTCCATTTTCAGCAGGCGCAAGTGAGGCCTCTGCTCCGCTGCCCCGCTGGCCGGGGAGAAGAGAGGAGGTGGCAGGGAGGACGTCTCCGCCACCAGGGACCAAATTTCCTGCGGCACATGGGATGTGCAGGCGCCCAGAGAGTCCGGCCACAGCCAGGGACCCAGCCCCGCCGGATGCCTTGTGGCCGGAGTGTCACCCCGCGGGAGCTGGAGGCCTGGCGCCACGGGACGATGACCAGGGCTGTCTGCGCTGGCCTTGGCGTGGTTGCTGGGTGGGGGGGCGCCCTGCTTCCGCCTGCTGCTCTATGCATTGTTTGTTGGGAAACGGGAGGGGAACAGAGTTTAAATAAGAGAGTTTATCATTTGGAGCTGGGTGTGTGTCTGTCTTTACTCTCTCTGGGCAGCCAGCAGGGGAATCGGGGCCCTTCCTCAGCTGCACTGCGCCACCTTCCTTTTGCAGAGCCCTGCTGCGTCTGAGCATTGCAGGGGGTTGGACTAGATGAACCTTAGGGTCCCTTCCAACTCTACTCTCAAATTGTTCCGGCTGGCAGGGCTCGAATTTGGGCTTTCACCAAAACCATTTATCCCAGACCAGGCGGGCTCTACACTGCTACTCTCTGGGGCCCTTAAAATATCACTGGCATTTGCCACAGGGACTCTTTTCAAAACTGCCCCCCTCACAGCTTGAATGGGATGCAGTTTTAACTCTTACAGAGAGGAGACCTATTGAAATTCACAGCAATGGCTCACTTTGGCCTGTTAAATCCAGCGGACCTGAGCTGAACTTAATCGGAGTTGAACTTAGTCCTGGGGAACCTATTATCAAACCTAAGGGCCATAATCTTTTCTGGGCAATGTGTCAGGGGCCAGACTGGCAGCAACCTAGTGGTAGGCGGGGTCACAGGCCAGAGACAGGCAACAAATGCAAGTTTTACCTTTAGACAGCAGGCTAGTCTTTGCACACAAACAAACACAGTATCTGTCCTCCATCCCAGGCAGGCAGGAGTCATTACCGGAGTTTAAGGACAAATTCCAGGCAGGCGGAAACACTTGAGGAGGGTGCGGAATGAGGCCAACAAAGCAGGGTGACCTTGGGCGACTTCCAGGGGACTCAGTAGAAAGGCCTGGCAGAAACTAAGATGAGGAATTATTTTGGGTTCAGGCCCAGTGGGTTGCACTCATATGGAAAGCTCCTCTTAAAATCTTTCACTCCTTCTCACAGCAGCATTTTTGGGAAGACAAGCATCCATCGAAGGATCATCGGAACACAGAATGTTAAAAGCAGAGGTGGACAGGCAGGCTGCCGCCAGAGCCAAATGCGTGCAAGTTCCTCTCTGCTGAGCAAAGATTGATTGTAAGAATCACCCACCCACAGCCATGGAAGCACCCTTTGCATTGCGGGGGGTTGGACTAGATGGCCCTGTGGGTTCCCTCCAACTCTACGATTCTGACTTGCTCTGGTACATTATTTCATTAAGATTATACACCACTGGAATGTTAAAAACACACACACACAACCTCAAAGTGGTGCACAAAAGAAAATAAAAGTGTTTTTAGCATGTGCCAAAAAAAAAGTACAGTGAAGGTGCCTGCCTCATATCAAGTCAAAGTCAAGGTGCTGCCATGCCAGAAGACCAGGTTCTTATGTGACCCCTGTAGCCAGTTTTGCCAATGAAAAGAGTCGAGTGGGCACATAGTAGGTAAATTTCAGGAGTGCTTTTTTTGCTTTGGGGAAGCTGAGCACCCTGATACGATTTGCACCCACAAGAGTCCAAATAGACACCTGTGTCTCGTCTGTGGTTTCCTTGCAGGAAGGTGTGGGTGAGTGTCAGGCTGTCACCCACCCCAGAAAACTATCACCTGGTGCCATCAAACCAGCAGTGAAGAGGTTGCTGAAGGCCAAGTTTGAGTGCTGATTCATCCAGCTCAGTATTGTCTGGACAAGCCCAGCCCTTTTTGGGGACTGAACCCAGGAGCAAAACTGACCAGTCCCCCATGGCCAATCAGCCCCCCTCTTCAGACACAAGGAGTATGTGGTCTGCAGGAAAGGGGCACCCGAAGCCACTCCAGCCCACTCTGGGCTTGCACCCCACCTAGATCTCTTCCCACCTGGGACCCTCTTAAGAAAGTTGAAGAGGCTCATACCAGGGCCTCTTTTGCGGCACTGGAAAAACAAATTAAGGAGAGCTCTGTGTCTGGTGGAAGACTCAAAAAATGCATGGTAATACAGTACAGGGTCTCATCTGCCAGTGGGCACACTGCCCCCTCCTGCCACACAGATGCCACGGCAAGTTGCTATCGAAGAAAGATGCTCTGGGTACCAGTTTCTGGGAGGGAGAAGTCCCAGGTGTGCTTGATGCATTATGCAGGAGGGGGTGGGGCTCGGCATACTGGGACCAATCAGATCCCTTCCCTGGGGCAGTTTGGGTGGAGCATAAAGCGTGTCAAGGGCCCGCCCCATCGACGTGCATAATAAGAATCTCAGGCGGGGCTCTATTTTGCATAAAGGGCGTGGCCTGCATAAGAAAGATAGTACTGGGAGGGGGGGCGGAATAAAATATATACGGGGCAGGGAATAAGGAATTGAGGGTGAGCAACTCGAAAGACACATAGGGGTGAATGTTATCATGCGTGGCTTGCATAATAATAAAGTGGGGAGGGGAATCTGTTCTGCTCGAGGGGCGGGGCTTGGGTGGCGGGGGCGTGACTGCAATTTGCATCCAGAGAAGCGCAGGTCTTGCGTTTTGCATAAGGGGCGTGGCTTTGATAATAATGAGGCAGCTGGAGCGGCTTTGTTTTCCATGAGGGGCGTGGCTTGAATAATGATAGGACGGTTGGGGCGGACCTGTTTTGCATGAGGGGCGGGGCTGCGTTTTTCATCCTAAGGAGGGCGGTCCTTGTATTTGCCTGCGGGGCGTGGCTTTGCGCGAGGGGGCGGGGCCAGAGAGTCTCTCTGCGCGATCCGGCTTAGCGGCGCTGCTTACGTAAGGCGGCTTAGCGCGGCGCGGGCGATGGGGCTGGCCATGGGGCGGGCGGGCTGAGGGGCCGAAGGCGCCAGCGGGCCATGGGAGGCGCGGGGAGCAGCAGCTCCAGCCCCGAGGAGGACCGGGCGCAGGAGGAGGCGCCGCCCGCCGGGATGCTCAAGGTAAGGCTCCTGCCTCTGGGCATGTGCAGAGCGCCTCGCCTCGCCCCTCCTTCCATTGTCCTGGGCCTCTCCCCGGAGCATAGCTGTCAACTTTCAGATTTGAAAATAAGGGACCGGCAGCCTCACCTGTCCCGGGAGCCCGAAAACAAGGGACCGGCAGCCTCACCTGTCCCGGGGAGCCCGAAAATAAGGGATCGGCAAGCCTCACCTGTCCCGGGGAGCCCCGAAAACAAGGGATCGGCAGCCTCACCTGTCCCGGGGAGCCCGAAAACAAGGGATCGGCAGCCTCACCTGTCCCGGGGAGCCCCGAAAATAAGGGATCGGCAGCCTCACCTGTCCCGGGGACCCCCGAAAACAAGGGACCGGCAGCCTCACCTGTCCCGGGGAGCCCGAAAATAAGGGATCGGCAGCCTCACCTGTCCCGGGGAGCCCCGAAAACAAGGGATCGGCAGCCTCACCTGTCCCGGGGAGCCCCGAAAACAAGGGATCGACAGCCTCACCTGTCCCGGGGAGCCCCGAAAACAAGGGATCGGCAGCCTCACCTGTCCCGGGGAGCCCCGAAAACAAGGGACCGGCAGCCTCACCTGTCCCGGGGAGCCCCGAAAACAAGGGATCGACAGCTTCACCTGTCCCGGGGAGCCCCGAAAACAAGGGATCGGCAGCCTCACCTGTCCCGGGGAGCCCCGAAAATAAGGGATCGGCAGCCTCACCTGTCCCGGGGACAGTCTACGGGATATCTAACAATCCGGGATAGCAGCGGGAAACGGCGCTGGAATAAGGGGATTTCCCGCAAAAAAAGGGAAGGTTGACAGCTATGCCCCTGAGTTTCGTCCTCCCGACAGCCCTGCGAGGGGAGCTGCGTGGACAGAGCGCCCTGATGCCTCGCTGGCGTCCGGATCTGCCCTCTTTCTCCAAAGACGCGGCTCCCCCTCCTCGCCCCATCCCCACGACAGCCCTGCAAGGTAGGCCAGGCAGAGAGAGGCAGCGACAGGAGCTTCGGGAAAAGGAAACTTGCCCAGTAATAAAGGAGCCTGCCGGTGGGGGATCGGCGCCTCGTGGGGCGCAGAGGGTTCGGGACGGGGGGAGGCAACCCCTTGTAGCCCCCCCCCCATATCTCCTTCCCTCCCACCTATTATTTGCTGCCTGAAATGTGATCTGGGCCCCTCCGCTATCTCAGGACTATACCGCCTCATTCTGCCGTGGGCGCAACCAGAGGATGCTCTGTATTCCTTCATCCTCCTCAAGACAGGGATCCCCCCGCCCAAAAGAAATATTTGGAACCCACCCGCCTCTGGCTCTGTAGCACTACTGCAGTGGTCCCCAAATGGGGTGGGGGGAGACACACAATAAAATCACCCCGGTGTCCCCTACCCTATAAAAAGCATCGTGCAAGCCACTATTCTGAACAATGCTTTTGTTCAGCCAAACAGCAACAGTCTGCTGCTCCTGCAGATTTATTCAAAATCCAAATGTATTAGATGGATGGACTTGATCCAGTGAGACCAGCTTTTGAAAGTCTGAGAGTTATTTGCACCTCCAGTGCCCGCCTGCCACCCCCTTGCCTCTTAGCGGCCCCTAGATAAACTCACCGCCCCCCCCGGAGGTGTTTGCTACCACTCAATTGGGGAGCTGCTGCTCTAAGGGTGGGGTTGCAGTTCTTCCCCTCCCCAAATCTAAATTAAATTCTACCAGTTTGGGACCTAAATTGGATCTATCTCCTTTTAGAGGGATTTTGTGTGTAGTTTCAGCTTTTGCTCCAGCTGCAACACTTCTGGAAGAAGGCAGGCTTGGCCACAGTTTGCCCAGGCTGGACTGCTGCAGTTCATTCTCTGTGGGGCTGCCTTGGGAGACTGTTTTGGAAACAGCTGCAGCCCCCTCGCGAAAATGGGACCTTGAGACTCCATTCGTAGTCAAACAGTTTGCTTGAGAGGTTTGATTTGTTTTTTAAACTGGTTACCACATTCAAGTGAAATGGAACCCAAGGTATTTTATGAGCTGCCTTCTCCCGCGGAGTCCTCCCTGCCTGTGAATATCTTCTTTGTCTTAGAAGCAGCAAATGGGGATTATGGGGCAGGGTAGTCTCAGACACCCTTCCCCCCATTGCTGGGAGGCCCCTCTGCCCCACTTGCTGTTAATTAATCAGTTCAGTACATTTATAAATATATCCCACCTTCCCTTCAAAGAAATTGTGGTTATTGCCTTTGCACCCGACCACTTCTGTTTTTTCGGAAGAGTTGTTTGGCGCCTGCTGAGGGAACAGAAGGACCTTTGCTCCATCCTGCCCGTTATTATCTACACGGACTGGCAGCAACCTTCTGCAGTTCCAGGGGGTGGGGATCTCTCCCCGTCCTTCCAGGATTGAATCTGGGGCCTTCTGCAAACATAGCAGGTGTCCTACCCCTGTCCTATGTGTACCTTAAAAGCATTCCTTCTATAAAGCTCATACTTTAATGCTGATCTTTTTTATATTGATTTCTTACATATTGCTTGGTCAAAAAGCAAAAGACAGGCAGACAGAAACCTCAAAGGGGCTCCAAGAAACCCTCAGAATTATCTGTGCTGTTTGGGTTATTGTTTTTGTCATAGAATCCTAGAACTCTGGAGGTGGAAGGGACCCCAAGGGCCATCTAGTCCAACCCCCTGCTGTGCAGGATTCCCGGCTTTTAATATAAGAAGGGACTGCTGGATCAGGCCAAAAAGGGCCCATCTAATCCAGCATCCTGTTCTCACTGATAGCCGTCTCCTCCATGAATTTGTCCAGTCCAAGCTGATGACCATCACTGCCTCCTGCAGCGGGGAGTTCCAGAGTTTAACAAGGCACTGTGTGGGCGTGGGCTAGCTTTGTGGGTCGGTCAGGGGTGCAAGGAGTCCTCGCAGCGGGAGCAGGAGTCTTGTAAAGAGCACGCCATGGCAGGACAGGCATTTAAAAAAAATTCTTCCCCTCTTCGACTGTGTATTGGTGGAAAGGTGTGCAGCTGCGGCAGTAACTAAAGGAGGCATTATGATTCCAGAAAAATCACAAGGAGAAGTGTTACAAGCCACTGTTGTGGCAGTTGGAACAGGCTCTAAAAGCAAGGAGGGAGACACTCTTCCAGTTAGTGTCCAAGTTGGTGAGAAGATTCTGCTCCCGGAGTATGGTGGAACAAAAGTTGTACTGGATAACAAGGACTATTTCATATTTAGAGATGGAGATATTCTTGGAAAATATGTGGATTGAACAGTTCATCTTGCTGCGTTATCATTAAGTTTTCATTCCACAAAAAGTGCTCAAATCATGTAAATAATTTCTTGTAATATTTCATGTAATATTTTCTAATAAATGCAAATTCTCCCAAATTACTAAGTATCATAATGACTTCAAAATAAAACAATGTGTATAGCCAAAATACATTTTTTACTATCTTAAAACAAAACAAAAACTAGGCACTGTGTGGAGAAGGGCTTCCTTCTACTTGCCATGAATCTTCTGACATTCTGCTCCAATAAGTTCCCCGCTATTGCTGTTACTGAAGCCTGTCCCTTTTGTCTGCTCCTGCTTTCCTTGGGGCCTCACCCCATGCCTGTCCTCCTCTGCAGGGTCGTGGGGCCAGTTTCCTGTCCGACGCCTCCTGGGCACGAGGCTGGAAGAACCTCCTCTCCAGCTTTGGCGGCACACTTCTGGGCCTGGAGAGAGCCTTTGCAGGCAGGAACCCCCTGAAGCGAGAGTCAGGGTCTGTGGTGGAGAAGCTGCCCCAGCTGGCGAAGGAGGGGGCTGAGAGGACCCTGCCCCAGTGCATCTCCCTCTTCTTGCCCGAATTCCCAGTCCAGCCTCCAATGGAGCAGCGCCAGCTGAAGGTCAGTGCCCTCCTAAGGGGGGGAAACTAAAGCGAGTCTCAGGAAGCAGATTTGGGGGAAATTATTATTTTGCATTTTTATCCCACCTTTTCCCCTCGAAGATGCTCACGGCGCTGTATGTGGTCCCCTCCCTACTCCTCATTTAATCCCCACCACAACCCTGCGAGGTAGGCGAGGCTGAGAGGCAGCAATTGGCTCACACCAGTGAGCTTCATGGCCGAGTGGGAGGATTCGAACCCTGGTCCTGGTCCAGCATTCTAACCACTTCACCACCCTGCCTCTCACTGGCACCCACACCGGGGACAGCAAAGGTGGCGCGTTCCCCCTTGGAGCATCGGAGGCTGCCATAGCCTGACTCTACCCATTGGCCCACCCAGCCCAGCGCTGTCAGTCTGACTGGCAGCCATTCTCCAGGGTCTCATGGACGGAGGCTTTGTCCCAGACCGCCCTGAGACGCTGTTGTCGAAAGAGCCGGAGTCCTTCTGCCTGAAAAGGACTTGCTCTGCCACTGAGCAGTGGCCCTTCCCTTAAAAACACAGCAAATTTCTAGTCCTCGTGGTTCTGAATGGACGTCTGGTTTAAATAGGAATGGTGGAAGCTGCTTTAGGCAGACTATGGACCCATCTAGCTCCCCCAAGACCCATTTATAGTTGGAGGAGCGTCTCCACCCCATCGTTCTGTCCAGACACTGAGGTCCAGCTCCGAAGGCTTTCTGGCGGTTCCCTCCTTGCGAGAAGCCAAGTTACAGGGAACCAGACAGAGGGCCTTCTCGGTGGTGGCATCTGCCCTGTGGAACACCCATCAGATGTCAAGGAAATAAACAACTATTTGACTTTTAGAAGACGTATGAAGGCAGCCCTGTTTAGGGAAGTTCTTAATGTTTGATGTTTCATTGTGTTTTTAATATTCTGTTGGAAGCCGCCCAGAGAGGCTGGGGAAACGCAGCCAGATGGGTGGGGTATAGATAATAATAAGAAGAAGAAGAAGAAGAAGCCGAAGCCAGGCTCAGAGCGGCTAACAACATTATTATTATTATTATTATTATTATTATTATTATTATTTAGGAACATAGGAAAGCGCCTTATTCCGAGGTCAGATCAGTATTGTCTGCACTGACTGGCAGCAATAGCTTCCAGGGCTACAGGCAGAGAAGCTGGAGCTACTGGGGCTGGAACCTGGGATCTGCATGCACAGTTGGTGCTCTGCCACTGAACCCCTGTCCCTCTTCATCCTTGCAGATCCTGGGCTTTGTGGCCAAGGGGTCCTTTGGGACAGTCTTGAAGGTCTTAGACTGCGGGCAAGAGAAGGTCTTTGCGGTCAAGGTGAGTGCCCTGCCTGACCCCCAAGACCCCCAGCCCTCTGCCTCTCTTTCTTGCTCAAAGTCTCGTTTCCTTTCAGGTGCTCCCCAAAGTGGAAGTTCTCCGCCGAGACACCCTCAAGCAGTGCAAGGAGGAGGTCAGCATTCAGGTGTGTCCTGAGCTCTGTGGGTGCAATATCTATTCTCATGGGGACAGGGCTTTTTTTTGGGGGGGGTGTTTCCTGAACTCCTGGGGATGCCCTGCAGGACTTGAGATTCAAGGCCTTTGTTCATTTATTCAATTTATTGTATTTCTATGCTGCTTGCAAACAATAACATAACGGGACATCACAAACGCAGCATAAACCAAACAATGCAATAAACAAATCACCAGTAAAACCATTAGTCTGCATATAGCAATATTCAGCCCAAACCAATACACTGTACACCAAACATTCATTTCTCCTGATATGGAAAAAGAGAACAAATGAGCACCAAGTTATTAACGAGACAGCCAAACACAGGTGGTCACTAAACAGTTACATACAAACACAGTGTATGCATAAGAATTATAAATAAAAACATGAAACAGTAAATAAAACATACATTAAAAATCCCAGAATCTTAAATTGTAAGGGAGTCCACGTGACCTTGTCTAAGTTGAGCAGCCTTCGCTGCGAATTTAGCTGTGTTAAGGGTTGGGTGTTTAATGTTTGGGTACCATTGGATGCCGTTTTGAATCAAGTTGGAAGACCGAGCCTTTCCAGACTGCTCTGATTTTCACCAAATTTGTGTGTGTGTGACTATATATATCAGGCCTTCCAAGTGTCCCTATTTTCCAGGGACAGCCCTGGATTTACAGAAGATGTCCCAGTTTCTGATTTGATCCCGGAATGTCCCACTTTTCCTATTTTCATCAGAGAAATATTGGAGGATAGGGAGTTACGTGACTCCCAACCTTTAGAAAACATCTGAGGGCAGCCCTGTATAAGGAAGTTTTTTTTAATGTTTAATGCTCTATTATGTTTCCTATATGTTGGAAGCCACCCAGAGCGGCTGGGGTAGAAATAATATCGTTATAATTATTATGCAATAGGACGTCTCTGTTTTCATCAGAGAAATGTTGGACACTATAATATATATATTCTGATGGTGGAGAGATGCACCGTTGAGCATCATTTTGAATCAAAATCCAGAGGGAACATTCCAAGACCACACTCCGAAGACCAAATCTCTCTGTGTGTGTCCGTTATCTATATGCGTGTACAGTGGTACCTCTGGTTATGTACTTAATGCCTTCCGGAGGTCCGTTCTTAACCCGAAACTGTTCTTAACCTGAGGCACCACTTTAGTTAATGGGGCCTCTTGCCGCCGCACGATTTCTGTTCTCATCCTGAAGCAAGGTACTATTTCTGGCTTAGCAGAGTCTGTAACCTGAAGCGTATGCAACCTGAAGCATATGTAACCCGAGGTACCACTGTATTTCATTTTTAGTGAACGATAGATGGGCCTTTCGGTGGCATTTTGAATCGAGACGAAAGGCCGAACCTTTCAAGAGGGCACTTATTTCCACCAAATTGTGTGCGTATATTGGAATGATGTTTATTTGTCCTGAATAGATTTCGGTCGTTTGCGATCTCCAGGCTGCACCATTGACCCCTTTCCTCCGCAAAGAGGTTGATATGTCTTCCAAATCCAAGAAGCCCCTCTCCCACCCCCCCCCCAAAAAAGCCCTCCCCTGCTGGGCTCCCTCCTTCACTCACCGCTCCCCTTTTCTCTTGTTCTCCAGAAGCAGGTCAGGCACCCTTTTGTGCATTGCCTGGGAGACAGCTGGCAAGGCCGCCGCCATCTCTTTATTAGTGAGTGACCATCTGCCCTGCGGGGCTCGGCTAGAGTAGAGATCTGCCCCCCCCCGTCCTTCTCTCCCCACCCTGTGCCCCCCACCCTTGTGCGTGTCCAGCCATGTGCCGCTGAGCCTTTGCCCACACATGTGACTCCTTGTTTACTCCTTCTGCTTCTCCCCTGCCATAGGAATCGGCTGGCTCTCACGGCGCCCGCCTGTGCAGGGATCAAAGGCGTCTCCTCTCTCTCCTTCCCCGCTTCCTGCCAACACACCCTTAAAAAAAATAAAATTAATTGATTTGTTAACACAAAAAAGAGAGCGCAAAAATAAAAAAAGGGAAAGTCTAAAAAACCCAGACCGTTAAGCGTCACAGCCTGGGAGAGCAAAAGTGCAAAGATACAGGGATAATAAAGTATTAACTTGTGCAAAGATTCCCTTAGCAAATAATATTATTTGCAGTTAAAGGCATTGCTATTTCAAATAATATGATCTACAAAGGGACTGTTTGCCCGAGTTAATACTTTTACATGGTGCTGTTTGCAAAGGGGATCTTTCTATTTTAGTAATACTTTACTAAAATAGTTGAGCTACCTGGTATCTTTGTAAAAACAAAAGTATTATCCACCTGTAAGTTCCGTTGTTATTGCGAAAAAACGGTTTTGGGTACCCTTAAATGAGCCAGACATTTGCATATACTGATGGCACTGAATGACCACGTGCCTCGATATTTGTAGGAATACTATATTTATGCGAATCTAATGCACCATTAAATTAATGCGCACCTTGGTTTTCAAAACCTCGAAGCAAAAAACCCGATCTGCTGGGGAATGTTAATGTGCACCCTAATTTTCACGGCGTAATTTGGCAAAAAAGTGCACATTACATTTGAGTAAATACAGTAAAATAATGCCATACACAACAACCCTGCGAGGTGCACCACCATTGGCTCTCTCTGTCTCTCTTGCTGGCCTCGGGTCCCCCTCTCCTCTGTCCCTCCTTGAACCCCACCTGGACTCTGAATTTCCTTCTGCCTTCACACCTGGGCAGCAGGTGGCTGCTTTCAAGGCTGTGTGCACAGCATCCAGCACCTCTTCCCTCGCTCCAAAGTATCCTGGGAACTTTAGTTTACCCCTCGCGGTGCTACGCTTCCCTGCACCCTGAACAAACGATAGTTCCTGGGCTGCTTTTGGAGGAAGCCACCTGCTGCACCATACATTTAAAGCGCATGGCTTCCCCCAAACCATCCTGGGAACTGTGGTTGGTTAAGGGTGGCTGGAACTGTAGCGCAGTAAGTGGGTAAACGACAGTCCCCAGGATATTTTGGAAGGGGGTGCGTGCTTTAAATGTGCTTTTGATATACGGGGCATATGCGTCGGAGGAAAAGGACATGCACTGCATGTACAAAAGGCGCAAAGTGGGGTCAGCAGGCTCTGTTCAGACTCTATAAGTAACACCCCCCCTCTTTTTCCCACCCCCTCTTATCTCCCCCTGACCACCAGTGTGCACATATTGCAGTACTGGGGATTTGTACACCCTTTGGAAGTCGGTGGGGCGTTTTGCCGAAGCCGTAATCCGCCTCTTTGCTACGGAGTTGGTCCTGGTGCTTGGTAAGGAAGTGCTGTGGGTTTGGGGACGGGGACGGGGGTTAGTCTAGATGATGCCCTGAGTCCCTTCTAATTTGGGGGGTCCTGTACAAAGGGAGGGTTGAACTCTTAACAGATGACTCCATTGCTGGCCAGACAAGTCTCTTGGTAAGACAATGGCCGGAGCTGGCCTCTTGAGTGTCCTCATCAGCGCCCGAAAGGACGATCCAGGTTGCAAGAGCCCCCACTAAGTGAGGGGGTTCCCCCGGGCTAATGGGTGGGCCCTTCCTCCGAGCCTATGTTTTTTTGGAGTGTGTGAGCTCAGTTGGGAGCAGGAGACAAAGAGATCCGCTTGCTCTGTGCTGGATCCAAACGAGCGACCGATGGAGAAGCAATATCTTCTGGGGTGCTCCTGCTGTGAGCCCCTCCGCCTCTGGCTCAGGTTGCATATACAGTGGTCCCTTGATTCTCAAACTTTATCCATTCTGGAAGTGCGTTCGAAAACCAAAGCGTTCCAAAACCAAGGCACGCTTTCCCATCGAAAGCCATGCAAAATGGATTAATCCGTTCCAGGCTTTTAAAAACAACCCCCAAAACGGCAAGTTAACGTGAATTTTACTATCTAACGAGACCATTGATCCATAAAATGAAAGCAATAATCCATGTAAAAGGTAAAGGTAAAGGGACCCCTGACTGTTAGGTCCAGTCGCGGACGACTCTGGGGTTGCGGCGCTCATCTCGCTTTATCGGCCGAGGGAGCCGGCGTACAGCTTCCGGGTCATGTGGCCAGCAGGACTAAGCCGCTTCTGGCGAACCAGAGCAGCGCACGGAAACGCCGTTTACCGTTTGACTTCCAAAATGTTCAAAAACCAAGGTGCAGCTTCTGATTGGTGCAGGTGCCCTGGAAAATATAGCCAACAGCTGCATCGGACGAATTCCGAAAAACGTTCAAAAACCGGAACACTTACTTCTGGGTTTTTGGCATTTGGGAACCAAGGCGTTTGAGAACCAAGGTACCACTGTACGCACAAATAAGGCCATGGGCGCTCAAAGCCCCATTATCTCCACTGTCCCCTATTCCAAGGAAATCCTACTGGAATCTTTCTCTTCTGGGAGATTGGGGTGGGGCATGGAACAGGAGAAACTTCACCCAGCCCACCGCTGACCTCTTTGCCCCACGCCAATGGGGCAAGCCCTAGAGAGTTCTTCACATACTTTGGAGCAATCACAGCCCTTAATAATAATAATGATTTTTACCACGGATGGAAAATAAAATTGGGATGACGCTTCCTTCTCTTCCTTCTCCCAGGCTACCTCCACAATCTGGGCATCGTCCACCGCGATGTCAAGGTACAAGAGACACCTCCTCCCCCCTTTCATTGTGGGGCAGGGAAATGGGAAGCTGCCTTATCCCCTGTCAGATCCTGGGTCCATGATCTAGCCCAGTATTGTCTCCACTGACTGGCAGCAGTCGTCCTCCAGGGGTCTCTCTCCCAGCCCTGCTGAGAGATGCCTTTACGGGGGGGCCTTTTCGCTATGAGCAATGGCCTCCCACCCCCACTCCAACCCCCAACCCTGGGATTGGCCCTTCTCAGGGGAAGGGATTTGGCCCACCAGCCCAAACTTCTGGCGTAACTTCAGCCTGGCCCTTTCCCAGAGATCCCTGCCTCTTGCACTTGGCGAATCCTTGGTCCGAATTCGAGTGCCGCCAGAGGGGAGGGCACCTTCACATCCTCACTGGGCTGCTCTCTTCTCTTTACAGATGGAAAATATCCTTCTGGATGAACAAGGTGCGTCCCGCTCAGGCTGGCAGGGGAGGGAGTTCCTGAATGTCCTGCGGAGAAACAACATATTATTCTTACCTTAATAAATTCGCCTTTTTATGTTGCTTTAATTCTACCAGAATTTAAATGCTTTTTAGTGGTTATCTTTCACATGTTTTTTATTTTTGGAAACTGCCCTGAGTTCTAGTGGGGGGGGGCAGGGGCAGGAAGGAAAGGCGGATAACAACAACAATAGCCACCCCAAATCCTGTAACCACTCAAATGACTTTTGCCTATTGCAACCATTGTAATGCGCGGTACTAGATGTTGTTTGGTCTGTAAATTTCATTTTAATTGCTTCTCTTTTTTGTTGTTCTAATTTAGTGCACCCTGTAGAATTTAAAACGGTTAACGCCGTAAAGGACAATGTGAGAAATAAAAGAAGTAGTTAAAATGCAATTAAAAGTCAACATGCAGATCTAGTGTGATGGGTGCTCAATATCCTGTCTTCAAACCCCCCAAAATCTGCAGACCCTCCCATGAGCTTCCTGAGTGGCTCAGTGGTTTGAGTGTGGGACTAAGACTTGGGAGATCAGGGTTCGAATCCCAACTCAGCCATGTCTGAGTGTCTCTTAGCCTGGCCTACTTCACAGGGTTGCTGTGGGCGAATAATCGTGTATGCCAGAGGTTCCTAATTAGTGGAGTGCTGCAGAGCTCCTGTTTTTCAAAAGTCAAGCCACGGACCCCCTACTTTTGATATCTCTGCCCCCCCCCCGGGAACTCCTGGTGCATGACACCGTTAGCTCTGTGGAAGAAAAGGTGGGGTGTAATTGCAAAAAATATCAATAAATACGTCCCAACCAGGGAGGAATGGCAAACCAAGCTGATGGGACTATGCCGAAATGGCAAAACTGACTCGAAAGCTCAGGAACCAAGAAGACAAAAACTTTAAGAAAGAATGGGGAAAACTGATAATTTATTTGGGACACCACTGTAAGCAGAGGAAAGCACTAGCAGGGTTTTAATAATACTTGGAATGTAACAATCACTATGGACAATATGGACAGATGCAAAATATGGATTATGAAACAACATGCAGTCGAAATGGTTCACAATAAGACCCATGGATGGGGATGGTGGGAAGTCTGGAGATTGAGAGAAATCTCCAAATATTTACTTGGTGGCGCTGCGGTCTAAACCACTGAGCCTCTTGGGCTTGCTGATCAGAAGGTCGGTGGTTGCCAACCTAGCAGTTCGAAAGCACACCAGTGCAAGTAGATAAATAGGTACCACTCCGGCGGGAAGGTAAACGGCATTTCTGTGCGCTGCTCTGGTTTTGCCAGAAGCAGCTTAGTCATGCTGGCCACATGACCCGGAAAAACTGTGGACAAACTTCAGCTCCCTCGGCCAGTAAAGCGAGATGAGCGACGCAACCCCAGAGCCGTTCGCAACTGGACTTAACTGTCAGGCGTCCTTTATCTTTTTATTGTTTTAACTCTATGCTTGTAAAATCAAATAAAAATCATTTTCAAATTGTGTGGGTCTCTCTCTGCTCTGTAATGCCCTAATTTATTTATTTTTTTCCTCTCCCACTGCAGGTCACCTGAAGCTGACTGACTTTGGCCTCTCCCGCCACCTGCCCTGGGGCGAAAGGGCCTACACCATTTGTGGGACCCTCCAGTACATGGGTACGGGCGGTTAAGGAGGCAAAGGAGACAGTGGCTAAGTGGGACGGGGGCCGTCTTTGCAAGGCTCAATATCTCCTCGCCTCTTCTTTCTTTGCAGCCCCGGAGGTCTTGAGTGGCGGGCCGTACGCCCATGCGGCAGATTGGTGGTCCATGGGGGTGCTGCTGTATGGCTTAGCCACTGGGAAGGTAAGGCTGTGAAGCAGCTTGGAGAGAGAGACTCCACTGCATGTTCCCCAGTTCTCTGTCTCCTGTGAAGGTAGACTACCTCCGGAGATGGAGGTTCCATTAAGAAGCAAAGACCTGATAAAGAGAGCACAGCAGAGGTTACATTTTCTGAGAATCCTCCGGAAAAACAGTCTCTCAAAGGACCTGTTGATGGCATTTTACCATTGTACTGTGGAGAGTGTATTAACGTATGGTCTGTGTGTGTGTCGTTTGGGAGCTGCACGGTCAGGGGAAAAACAATGCTGTCCAGGGTTGTAAAGACTGTGGAGAGCATAATCAGGTGCGCTCTTCCCACCTCGGATCAAATCTACGCTTCCAGGTGCCACAAGAAAGCTGCAGAGATAGCGCAGGATAGTGCGCACCCCAGAAATGATCTCTTTCAGCTTCTGCCTTCTGGAAGAAGGTCCAGGGTTATAAAGACTAGGACTAGCTGCCTGAGAAACAGTTTCTATCCAAATGCAATTTTGGTTTTAAACACAGTGTAAGCAGTCTTGATGGGAGTATATTGTATTTAATTATGGGGTATCAGAGTTTTTAGGGGGCTAACCAGGTTGGGATAGCAGGCTTGTTGGGTTTTGAATGTTTTATGTAGATTTTTCAATTTTGTTGTTCTGTATGGGACAATGACAATAAAGATTATCGTATAAGGCGAGCCTGAGGCGGAATCAGGCCAGCGTCCTGTTCTTACAGGACCCAAATGCCCCTGAGAGACTAGGAATCTCGATAGACTGCTTCTGGACATGGAGGTTCCATCGGAGCAGCCCGTTGCTGGATCCTACCTAGCCCAGCATCCCTCTTCTCAAAGGGGCCAAAACATGCCCCAATGGGAAGCTCGCGAGCAGGATCCGAGCAGAAAAGCATTCTCCACGCCTGTGGTTTCCGGCAACTGGGATTGAGAAGCGGTTTTGCTAGAAGCCATCTCCTCCAGGAATTCCTCCTGTCCTCCTTTAAAGCCAGTCAAGTCTGTGGCCCTCACAGCCTCCTGCAGCAGTGAGTTCCATGGATCAACTGTGTTCTAGCAGTGAAATTCTCTTTGTGGGTAGCAAAGGAGGGTGACTCACATGAGAGAGTAATTGCTGGGCAGGGATCCTAGGAAAACTCTGCATTCCTGCATGAATGTGCGAGGAGGCAGAGAGGAATCCAGCTCTCCCACGTTCTTTTCAGTTCCCGGTGGCCCCCGAGAAAGACCACATCAGCATGCTGGAGAGCGTCAAACGCTGCAGCTACGCCATCCCAGGCACCCTCAGCCTGGGCCTCCGCCTTCTCCTCAGCGAGGTGAGCTGCGGTTTTTTCTTAATACTTAAAATTTTGGGCAAATCTAAAATGTGATATTGCACAGACCATAAACTTGACGGTGCAAGCGTTGCACATGGTCAAAGGGTTCAGTCACTTACTGACTCCGGTCTAATTCCTGCATTTCAGGGGGTTGGGCTAGATGACTGCTGGGGGCCCCTTCTGATTCTGGGATTCCACTTCGGAAACCTTTAACGTGTATCTGAGCCGGCCTTTGCCAACCCAGTTGTTTTCGGCCACAATTCCCATCAGCCCATAGCCAATTGGTGCAGAAGATACTGAGCTGGGTGGATCCAAATCGGTGCAAGGCACTTTTTAAAACCAGCCCTTCATTTGAGATCATAAGGACTAGGATCTTATGGGCATAAGCAGTGCTTTTTCTATTAAAAAAATGTTTGGGGGGTACTCTCATTTTCCTACTCATATTGAAGTATTCCCCTAAATGAGGCAAACTTAGATTCACAGCCACTCTGGGCACAAGAATATAAACAGAGTCCTTCGTCTGGATCAGACAAAAAAGGGGCCGTGTCTGTTCCAGCATCCTGTTCTCACAGTGGCCATGTGCCCCTAAGAACATGGGGAGTGAGATAGACTGCCTCTGCAGCTGGAGGCTCCATAAGCAGAGCCTGGCTGGGAGATCGGGCAATGTGGGTCCCATCCCACCTAGTCCAGCCTCCTGCTCTCACAGTGGCCAGCCAGACACCCCCCAAGGGAAGCCCACCAGATTCCCAGGGACTGGTTTCCAGGGACTGACAGCAGTGGGCAGAACAGTGCCACCAGGGCTAGCAGCCACCGACAGCCTTCTCTTCTGCTCGGTGGGAGAGCCCTGCTCTGGATGCAGAAGGCCTCGGGGCTCAGTCCTCTTCTTCCCAGGAAGGGCTGGTCCCCTGTCCCAGAGAGTTGCTGCTGGCCAGTGTAAACATCATCATTAATAATAATAATAATACTAAAAATTTATTTATATCCTGCCCTCCCCAGCCAAAGCCAGGCTCAGAGCGGCTAACAACAATAAAAGTAACACAGCATTCTAAAATCAATTCATTCTAAAATCAATTCAAAATCAAATTAATGGCAACCATTGGGCTAGAATTCTTTGAGGATCGCCAAAGGAGACTGTGCCCTTGCCAAAGGCCTGGTGGAACAGCTCTGTCTTGCAGGCCCTGCAGAAAGATGTCAAGTCCCGCAGGGCCCTGGTCTCTTGTGACAGAGCGTTCCACCAGATCAGGGCCACAGCCGAAAAGGCCCTGGCTCTGGTTGAGGCCAGCCTGACCTCCCTGTGGCCCGGGACCTCCAAGATGTTTTTATTTGAAGACCGTAAGGTCCTCCATGGGACATACCAGGAGAGGCAGTCCCGTAGGTACGAGGGTCCTGGCCGTATATTAATCATAATACCTGTCCCCCCCCACACACCTTTAACAGGCCATAGACTATCTAGCGGCCAAAGGCTTGGGTAAAGAGGAATGTTTTTGCCCATGATGATGGTGCCAGGTGGGCCTCTCTTGGGAGGGAGCAGCCCACAGACGGGGAGCCACCACCGAGAAGGCCCTTGCCACTCTCCCAACCTTTTGGGGAGGGGACACATAGAGAAGGGGCACAGGATCCAGGGCGGTTCTGCATTTGGTGGGCAAACAGTTTGTGCCAGGCAGCTTCTGCCGTCTCCTCTGACCGCTGCCCGCTCTCTCCGTCCAGCTCCTGTGCCAGGACCCCCAGCGGCGCCTGCGCTACCTCCACCACTTCCGCGGCCACCTCTTTTTCCGTGGGATGACCTTTGACGCAGAGATGCTTCGGAAGCGGCCGGTGGATGTTGTGCTGGGCCTGCGGAGCCCCCGGGAAACCCCCCTGGACTCGGCCGCCTTTTCGGATTTCGACTGCGACCTCGTGGCGCCCTCGAGCCAGCCGTGGCCGGGCTGAGTGGCCCCCCGTCCTCCTGGGGGGCAGCAGTTCTTCTCAGGAGGCCCAAAGCCGCCCTCGGGAGACCCCCGGGAATCACTGTGAGACCTTCTCAGGAAATGCTTCTTCCAGGCAGCTCTTTGGGCGAACGAAGCCGCCAAGGATCTCAGGAAGCCCGGCCGAAAAAGCGCCGGCCCCTCTCCGGCAGGGAGGCTGGACCCCTACTTTGCCTGCCACCCCCCTGGCTACTGAGTTCTCCCACTATGCAAGACTGCCACCCAGAGATCGGGGATGACGAGCGCAGCGAATTTTCCTTCACATGTAAGGCCAGCGTTGCACAGAATGGCAAAGATGGCTTGTCAGCTGGCTGCCTGCAACTTCCTGTGTGTGCAAGAGTCCTGTGGAATCCGGAAGCTTGCCTCTTTTCCCCACCAACCCTGACCCTGAGCTCAGCTAATCTAACAGGAGAGACTAATAACCGTAGAGAGAGATATTCCTTCGCTATGCAAGAGGCAGACGGGCTGTGGTGGGCTTGCTGCCCCTTCCTCTTCAGACGTGCCAACCCCTCTCCCCCTGTGAGAACGGATTCTGGCCTGGTTCCCCTCTGTTCAAGAAGAACCGGAACCTTCTCCTCCACCCTGGTTCCTAACCTTCTTCCTCTCCTTGCCTCCTCCGCCCCGTCTCTGTGCTTTTTCTTAAACAAGCAATAAATCTGTCTTTTATGGGTCTCTGCGGTTGGATGGCGAGTTCTCGTCTTTTGTGCAGGCCGCATTGCGGCACACCTGGGGCTGGAAGGTCAGCAACGGAGGGGAATAAATCTCAATTCCGGGAAGGCTGTGTCCTTTTTATTCCACCCCACCAATCTCTCCAGAGTTGCTGCTCGGTCCCTTACCTCCCAAAGGAGCCCAAAGGGGAAAAACACAAGCAAGAAAAAGCACATTCACGTATTTGGAGTGTTTGTAGCCCAAAAAAAGGCACCCAGAGCAGCTGGCACACAATTAGGATTGGCGTACGCCCGGAATTTCCAGGAACTTTGTCTGGGCTGGAATCCTATTAATGTTTGGATGTGTGGAAACCCAAAAAAGCCCCCCCTAAAAAACAGTTTTTTGCAGAAAAGCTCAACAGCTTTTCTTCACACACACACACACACACACACCCAAAAAAGAAAGAAAAACACCTTTGCCTAGAAAAGCTCAACACCTTTTCTGTCTGGATTTTCACTTTCTAAAATACGGCAACCCTAGATTAATTGCTTATACCCCGCCCATTAATTGTTTGATTATACCCCGCCCCTCTTGGCTGGGTTTCCCCAGCCACTCTGGGTGGCTTCCAACACATGAAAAAACATAAAAGTCAAACAAAGGGGTCAGCAAACCTTTTCAGCAGGGGGCCGGTCCACCGTCCCTCAGACCTTGTGGGGGGCCGGACTATATTTTGAAGGGAAAAAATGAACGAATATATTTTGGAAAAGAAAAAAAAAAGAACAAATTCCTATGCCCCACAAATAACCCAGAGATGCATTTTAAATAAAAGGACACATTTATCTCATGTAAAAACGCACTGATTCCTGGACCGTCCAGGAGCCGCCTTTCGAAGGCGATTGGGCCGGATTCGGCCCCGGGCCTTAGTTTGCCTACCCCTGGTCAAACATCAAAAACCTCCCTAAACAGGGCGGCCTTCAGATGTCTTCTGAATGTTTGGTAGTTGTTTTTCTCTTTGACATCTGGTGGGAGGGCGTTCCCCAGGGCGGGAATTGTTCTGTCTGTTTTCTATACATTCCGAAAATGAAAGTACTATTATTCTTTCATGCAAATGGCTTTGCATTTGTGCAAGAGCCGAATCGGCTTGGCTGGGAATTGCGCCCTGCAGAACATCTTCCGCCCGCAGCAGCGCAGCTTGAAACGTTTTGCAGCAGCTCTTACGCGCGGGGGGCGGGGCCGAGCTCGGGCCCCGCCCACTCGCTCTCCCCTCATTGGCCCCGCCTCCTCCGGTGGCGTCACTCGGCGGTTTCATTCAAAAAAAGCGAGGGCGCTGCGCTCTTGGCCGGACCTCGGGGCGCCATGGAGCCGGTGAGTCCCGGGCTTTATTGGGGGGTTGCGCCCCCCCCGCCAGCGCCTGGGAAGGGGGCTTGAGGCCAGACCCCCAACTTCCTTGAGAGGAGGCGGCTCCGAGGGAGCTTGGTGGGGGGCCGGGTGGGGATTTGAACCCAGGTCCCGCCCAGGACTCTAACCACTGCGCCGCACTCTCCTCCCCTGCTCCCTCCCCCGCCTGCGGGACTCGACAGCTGTTCCGCCTGGCCTTTGGTTTGGACTCAGTCTGACCCTTCTGGGCTTGATCTATTGGCTACTTTTAAAATGAAGCTGCATTTTAAATTGCATTTTAACCTGTATTTTAAATTGGTTCTCCCCACCCCACCCCCCAATTATGCTTTTACTGTGATTTTTGGGTGTTAGCCGCCCTGAGCCCGGCTCTGGCCGGGGAGGGTGGGGTATAAATAACATTTATTATTATTTATTATTATTAAAAGAATCACTTCCAAGACTTCAGCTACAGGACTTCCACCCACCCCATAGAAGAAGCAGGGAGAAGCCCCGAACAGAAGGATTCTCTCACTTTTATATAAGTTTCCCCTTTTCCCCATAAACACCTTTGGTGAAGCATCATGCGCCCATCATCAGACATGTGTCACAAACAGGGAGGGGGTTTCTGGCGGAAACCAGGTTTGCCCCAACCTCCCTTTCCCACCCCTGCACACCCATCGAGGGATACAGTAGGGATAGTTACAAGTTCCTGGGTTTCCTGGTGTTATAAGAAACAACTGCTCCTTTATCCTTATCCAAGAGCCGCTATGGGGTCCTTATGTAGGAGAAAATAACAGAGGCCAACCAGAGAATATTGAGCAGCCAAGCGGCTAGTAATAATAATAATAATAATAATAATAATAATAATAATTTTTATTTATACCCCGCCCTCCCCAGCCAAGGCCGGGCTCAGAGCGGCTTACAAGCAATAATAAAAACAAGTAAATGATTACAACTTAAAAACAAAAATAAAATACAACATTAAAATAATGGAACATTAAATATTAAAATGTAGCCTCATTGCAGAAGGAGAAGGAAAGGAAAAAAGAAAGAGAGGGAGGGAGGGAATCAAATTGGCTCCAAGCCAAAGGCCAGGCGGAACAACTCTGTCTTGCAGGCCCTGTGAAAAGAAATCAGATCCTGCAGGGCCCTGGTCTCATGAGGCAGAGCGTTCCACCAGGCCGGGGCCAGAGTTGAAAAGGCCCTGGGCTCTGGTTGAAGCCAATCTAACTTCCTTAGGGCCCGGGACCACTAGGGTGTTGCTATTTATGGACCTTGAGGCTCTCCGTGGGGCATAAAGGTAATCCAGCCCAACCCTCTGCAGTGCAGGAAAGTGTAGGGACGCGTCATAGGCAGGTAGGCCTTACTCTTGGCTTCCTCTAAATCAGCCTTCCCAGAAGCTCCCCCACAGCACAGACATACTGTAATAATAAGTCGTAACAAATGGCCTGTCCTGCCTTTCTGTCTTTTACAAGCCCTCCTGGCCAAGGCAGCTAGCCAAGAGGACCAGTGGGGGGGGGCAGGGGTTGGAGCGTCAGGGAGACCCGGGTTCAAATGATGTTCACTGGGTGTGGCCTTGGGCCAGTCGCTGCCTCTCAGCCTAACCTGCCTCCCAGGGCTGTTGTGGGGATTAAATGAGGAGGGGGAGAACCAGGGACGCTGCCACCTTGAGCTCCTGGGAGGAAAAGGCGCAATGCAAATGTAATGAATAAACAGAATTAGGGTTGCCATGTTTCGAAAAGTAAAAACCAGGACACCGCAAAAGACACTTCCTTTTTTAAGGAAGACCCCAACATTATTGAGGTTTTTTAAAGGAAGACCCCTGGACGTCAATTCCACCTTTGAAATCCCAGTAGGGTCCGGGAAAATGGCAGCCCTAACGAAATAAAAGTCACTAAAAAAACGAGTGAAATCAAGGCTGCTCTCTGAGGACTGTTTTCTCAATAGTGAAACACAGGACCATAAAAATCAGTCCAAGAAGTTTAGCATTTTATCACCTCCTTCTGGAATGGCATTGTGGTGCCGCCCCAACCGAAAAGGACCTGCTTTATTTATTTTTATTGCATTTCGATCCCCCCCACCCCAAACTATTTCAGCTTCACACAACCCTGTGTGGTAGGCAAGGCTGAGAGAGAGCAGTTGCCTCCGTTTCCCCTCTGCTGTGAACATCCTGGCTGAGTCAGGATTTGAACCCAGCTCTCACTTTTCTGCAACATCCTATGAGCCTGTGTTGTTGTTTTTGCTTCTGCAGCCTATCCAGGAACGGCTGCCTGGCGACTCACTCCGAGACAGCCACCCACAGGAGATGGCCGAGCCAAACCTGGCTTTGGAAACCCCCAAAAGAGAAAGTCTCCCCTTCCCTGCCTTGCAAGATGGGAGGAGCGTCGCCCCAGGCTCTGCAGCAACTGGGAGGTCCCCTCAGAGCCTCCTAGAGGCCGGCCCAAATGCAGCCTCGGAGGACAAGGCTTCCATCCAGGAAGAGGAGAAGGACAATGGCCTCACTTCAGTCTCCCCATTGAGTGTCCTGGAGGTCAGACCAAATGTATGCTCAGAGGACAAGACTTCTGTCCACGAACAGGAGAAGGATAATGGCATCGTTTCAGTCTCTGTGGTTCCTGAAATGACTTGGGCGTCCCCCTCAAGGCTCCTGGATGCCAGACCAAATGCATCTTTGCAGGACAAGGGTTCTGACCTGCATCCCCAACTGAGTCTACCTGAGGCTGGACAAATGCATCCTGGGAGGACAAGACTTCTGTCCACGAACAGGAGAAGGATAATGGCATCGTTTCAGTCTCTGTGGTTCCTGAAATGACTTGGGCGTCCCCCTCAAGGCTCCTGGATGCCAGACCAAATGCATCTTTGCAGGACAAGGGTTCTGACCTGCATCCCCAACTGAGTCTACCTGAGGCTGGACCAAATGCATCCTGGGAGGACAAGACTTCTGTCCACGAACAGGAGAAGGATAATGGCATCGTTTCAGTCTCTGTGGTTCCTGAAATGACTTTGGGCGTCCCCCTCAAGGCTCTGGATGCCAGACCAAATGCATCTTTGCAGGACAAGGGTTCTGACCTGCATCCCCAACTGAGTCTACCTGAGGCTGGACCAAATGCATCCTGGGAGGACAAGACTTCTGTCCACGAACAGGAGAAGGATAATGGCATCGTTTCAGTCTCTGTGGTTCCTGAAATGACTTGGACGTCCCCCTCGAGGCTCCTGGAGGCCGACCCAAATGCATGCTCACAGGATGAGGGTTCTGACCTGCATCCTGAGAAGGAGAATGGTCTTATTTCAGTCCCCCAATTGAGTGTCCCTGAGGCTGGACCAAATGCATCTTTGCAGGACAAGGCTTCTGTCCAGCAGGAGGAAAAGGACAACGGCCTCATTTCAGTCTCTCCCTTGAGACTCCTGGAGGTCAGACCAAATGCATGCTCCGAGGACAAGACTTCTGTCCACGAACAGAAGGAGAACAGCCTCACTCCAGTTTCTGTGGTTCCTGAAATGACTTGGACGTCCCCCTCGAGGCTCCTAGAGGCCGACTCAACTGCGTCTTCAGAGGACAAGGCTTCCATCCTGCATCCCGAGAAGGACAATGGTCTTATTTCAGTCCCCCAATTGAGTCTCCCTGAGGCTGGACCAAATGCATCCTGGGAG